ACTCCCGATGTGTTACTGCAGTACTAGCTTCCTAAATCAGATGTCTCAAATTCGAAATAATACTTTTACTACAATTTGATAAATATCATAAATTAATTATTGCAATATCATTTATGATTACAATGAGAATAATTAAAGAAAAAATAAATAATTGAAATATATGAACCAATGATTTCAAAATGAAATTAATCTATCTATAATATTAATAAAAGTAAAATTCTCTTTTACACCATTCTAGCCCAAATTAATATGAATATTAATTAATTAGTAAAAAATTAATAAAGATTAATTGGTAACAAAATTTTATATGAAACTTAACTAATATATAGTGAATTGTTACCACATATTAAAGTCAATATGTACAAAAAAATAGAAAATGGTTATCAAATTATGAGAATAATTAAATTATTATTATTGTGAAAATAATGGACACAAATTCTGCGTAATAAAAGAGAAAATTCGTTTGAAATTTTGTGTAATTTTATAAAGAAATAATAATTTATTAATTATTATTTACACCAATTTATACTATTAATAAAAGTAAAATCCTACTCTTCCACATTCCCGCCCAAATTAATATGAATATTAATTAATTGGTAAAAAAAAATAATAAAGCTTAATTGGTAACAAAGTTTTATATGAATATTAACTAATATCTAATGAATTTCTATCACAAATTAAAGTTAATATGTACTTAAAAATAGAAAATGGTTATCAAATTCTAAAAATAATTAAACCATTATAATTGTGAGAATAACAGAAACAAATTCTTTGTAATAAATGAGAAAATCCATTTGAAATTCAATGTAATTTTATAAGGAAATAATAATTTATTAATTATTATTTACACCAATCTATATCTATACTATTAATAAAAGTAAAAATCTTTAATTAAAATGTTTTCACCCTTTTGATACGAGATTTCCGTTCAAGTTCTAACAAAAACAATTCACGTTGATGCTCGCATATGCCATGACTATCAACAAAAGTCATGGTCAAACACTAACTCACGTTGAGTTATTACTGAAAGAAAATCAATCTTTAATCACGGTTAATTGTACATGGCTTTTTTCCCGAGTCACCAATCCTGACGGTCTGATGGTTTTAACTCTAGACAGGGATGGATAAAATTCTGTTACTACTATCAATGTCCCTCTACAAAGATATTCAATAATGTGTAATTCAAGCCAATGATATTATGTTTTTTTTTTTATATATACAAAGATGACAAAATTGCTATATATCTACATAGAGAATATATCTTCCATATAAATAATTTCTATAACTAAATTGCTAGACAACGAGCTAAGTAGCCCAATTAATACAAATCCTAAACGCTGATATATAAAATATCTAAAGTTGCAGCACCGAATGCGTATATCTACACGTTAGCTATTAATTGAGTAATTATTTGCTCAAATTCAAGCAATGACAACATCAGAAAACATAATCGGTGCAACTCAATTCTTCAATTATATTATATAATATTCAATGTTATTATAATATATACAATTGTATATCGATCTAAATATTTTTAAAATATTATAACAAATTCATCTCGTGCAACGCATGGGCGAAAATACTATCTAGTAAAAGTAATAGTAATTTGTAAATAAAAATATTATAAATTAAAAAATTTAAATTACCATATTATAAGTATATACTTCATTATAATAATTTTTTTTTAGCATTATTGACTCTAACACAAAAAGTCAACACTGGCTCGATCTCATGACCTCCCATATAGAAGAGTCATTACATGCATACCATCTAAGCACAATGTGCTTGGCAATATTATAACAATATTTAAAGTTAATACCCAAAATGATCATCCGATTATTAGCTAATAATACTCAATTTTGTCCCAAGTATTAAGTATTTAAGCCTACTTAATTTAATCCTAACTTTTTTAAACTGGGGGCAAAAAGTCATCCGATTTTGTGTTTGCTGACTGTGGGGCTGCGGCTTCGGTTCTCCGCTGTGTTGCTGCTGGTATGACACCGCCATGGGCATTGCGGTCACCAACTACTTCTGCCGATGGGGCTGCGGTGAGGAAAACGTTTTTCGGCTCCACAATCTCAGAATCCTCAGGCTCTCTAGTAACAGCTTCAGTGGTTCATTACCAGAGAGCATAGGTAAGCTAACCAAACTCGAAGAACTCGATCTGTTCGAGAACAGCTTTTCCAGGTTTCTTCCACACACACATAAACTAGAAAACAAAAGAATAAAAGATGATACTGCACAGAGGAATCCTTGAGAACCAACCAAAGGCAGAATACTAACCAGATACATCCTACTATTAAAAGCCTACCTCAAGCAGAAAATTTTAATAGATCCACTGTTTCTAGAGTAATTCATTTCATCCACTTTTTGTAGAGTAATTCCTAGCTTTTCTTTGAATAGATTAGCAAATTTGAATGGGTCTCCACCTGTTGCCTTACTTATGCAGCTTAACTACAAAGCCTTTGCCTCAAACCAATGACCTAAATTTGATACCATGTACTTGTTAAGATCAAGCGCTTATATATCACCGCGCCAAAAGCTATAGCTCACAACAAAGGCACAACTTTATACTGCTACCACATTTCGAGAGGTAGTGTGCTAGATTTAACCCTTCACCGACTTTCATCCAACAATTGATATCTTAACTACCAATTGTTGAACTTGACCTTTTAACGGACTCCACCCAACACATATAAAAATATCATTCCTATAATGATCGTGGTGTTGTGCGATAACAATAATACATACCGATGAATTCTTGTTTAATTTTCAATGAATCCTTGTGCAATAGAACACTGTGACACACTAATTGACGCATTGAAAAGATGCCGAGACTATTACAATACTGCAATCAATTTGACAAATCTAGAAAATGAAGAAATTTCAAACTAGCCGTCGTTGATGCATTTATTGATCCTGTATGTAAAATACTTATTGTGCATTCATTAAATATATTAGAACTAATATAAATTTACATTTAATTTCATCTTCGAGGCTCAACTTGCTTAGATTAAAGGCAAAATCAGTATCAATCTTGACAACAAAAACATTTAGTATATAGGATGTAGTCACTGTTTAACAAATGTTTATGTAGTGACAAACAATTTAACTCCAAGGTTAGTATCAATTCAATAAAAAAACAATTTAAACAAAAAAAAAAAAAAAGCGCACACACAAAATCAAATATTACTATACCCTCATTCATACTAATTTCAAAAATATGAACTTAAAAATGAATAGGCGCAAAATGGGTGTGGAAATTATTGATGAAACTGGACACGTTGCAGCATTAGTATTCGGACTACCTGCACAGTTGTTGTTACTATCAAGTAAATAAGTTATAAAAATAGAACAAGAGGTACTACTCATGAACAGGCCCGGCCCTGGGCAAGTGCAGGCTGGGCCCTTGCCCAGGGCCCACACTTGGAAGGGGCCCACCACCCTAGCTATCCAATTACCTTTTATATATACTGTAGATGTTTCTATAATAATTTATTATAATTTGTGTTATTGAATTGAAAGCTAGCTGAGTTGGTATAGTTCTTGGTTTCTATGTGTCAAGTCAAATGGTTTGAACTTGTTTATGTCTAATTTTGCATTAAGATTTCCTTCCTTATTCTTTAGTAGATAAATTTTGGAATATTATTGATATTATTATATTATATAGTATTAAAATTCAATTTGGGACATTATTACTCCGTATTATATATATAGTATTAAAATTATAACTTATGAAATTTTTGAAATACTCATAATTTTTTATATGATAATATTTGTCAGCCCAAAGAATATAAGCCCCCACCACCGAGCCACATTAGATGATAACTTATGAAATTTATTTATATTTTAAATTTGTATTTTATTTAATTTAATTTGTAACTTTGCGATTTTTTGTTTTACCTTTCTATAAGAGTGAATTCCATTTTTGGTCCTACTGTTATAGGGGCGTTTCCAATTTCAGTCCACTTTAATTTTTTTTGCCACTTTACAACCACTGTTATTGAATGTGTTCCACTTTTAGTCCACCGTTAATATTTTGATCAAGAGGCCGTATAATCAAAGGGTATTTTGGTCTTTTTATGTTTGTCTCTTCTCTTTTAATCCAGGCGCTTCGTCCTCCTCCTCCGATATTCGAAGATGGCTCTTCGAAAAACGAGAATGGGAAGCCAAAGCTACATTGTTTCGTTCGTTCCAACATGGGCCAACGAGGTTTCTTAGGTTTTAGGTTTAATGTTCTCATTTCTTTAGTCAAACATAGTCTTGGATGAGAAGAAAGGTCAAAATAACCCTAGATTACACGGCCTCTTGATGAAAATACTTACGGTGGGACTAAAAGTGGAACACATTCAATAATAGTGGTTATAAAGTGGCAAAAAAAATTAAGATGCACTAAAATTGGAAATGCCCCTATAACAGTAGGACCAAAAATGGAATTCACTCTTTCTATAATTATAGTGAGATTTGTGATTAATATCAAATTTTGAATCAATTTCTATTCGATTAATTTACTACTTATATTTAAAATATGTGTTATTTTGTGAACTTTATAATGAGTTATTTATATTTCTAATTCGTATTTTTCAAATTTAATTTGTAACTTTGTAATATTTTATTTCCTTTCTATAATTATATATATATATATTGAGATTTATAATATAGATTGATTTATGATTAATATCAAAATTTGAATTTATTTTCATTCGAGTAATTTACTACTTATATTTAAGAAATGTGTTATTTTGTGAACTTTATAATGAGTTATTTATATGTAACATATTTTGTGATTTAGTTATGAAAAATATTTTAAAAGATAATTTAGTTTTTTTTTTTATGAATTATCTAGTCAATGTCCTTTCAAAAAAAAAATAAAAAAAAATCTAGTCAATGTGGTTTAGAAGTCTTATTGTGCGTCATCGTATTCATATTAATAAAGAAAAATATGAAATTAATTTAACTAAAAGAAAAAAGTATTTATAAATTTGATATCAATAAAGAAGATGTGTGATTTATTATGTCTTTTTTATTCGAACTATTTTATCCAATTAATTATATTTCATATTTTATTATGAATATTATTTATCTTTTATCACGTACGTTTAGGGTATTTTGATTTATTGCTCCCAATAACTAAGATTTATTCTCTATAAACTCATTTGGTTTTAAATTATTTATTCGTTTTTATAAAGTATAATTCTTTATTTATGAAAGCAATGCAATTATTGATTATTTTGGATTTAAGAATGCATATAGAATTGTCTTCATGTGTATGTATAATTGTTAAAAACTTGTGAATTATTTGACATTAGCATTTTTCCTTTATTTAATTTAAATTTTAGTTATAAAAAATATATATTAATTTAATAAGGGCCCATTATTTTTTATACGCCCTGGGCCTATAAAACGATAGGACCGGGCCTGCTCATGAACCTTCTACAAATATAATAAATATTAGTATTTATTCAATACTTCCACATAAAACGTGTATGAAAAAAAACTACCACTACAAAATATCAACTTGCGCTTGCAAGATCAAGTGTTCATAGTACAACTAAGTTCTCATTGCATGACGCTACTAATCTATATATGCTACCACCAATAACTCAATTGCAAATAATACACTACCAAAAAAAAAAAAAAAAGACAAATAGTGAAGATGGAGACGATGACAATACTACCCAAAAGATAATTAAGAAGACCTAGAGAAATTCAAAATCAAAAGTAGTATTTATTTAGACTATCGTTTTTAGACTAAGTATTTAGATTATCTATTTTACAAAGTTTCCAACATTTATTTTAATGACAATTATAATGAATTTCCTATATTATCTTGCATTCATATAGTTTGAATTGCCTATGTATGAACTTCTCTTAAATAATTAATCTTGTATTGATATGCTTTGAAATATTTATTTAAATATAAACATTGGGCATTAGCCTATTCACACAATGCGCATGTATGTGATTGAGCAATAGTAATCACAAGAGTGTAGAGTGTTTGGAAGCTAGTTCAAAGAAATAGATGTGATTAATCTAAAAACATAATAAGTCTCAATCAAGGTTATACCCTTGATTTATGTCCCTCTTTTTATATGCTAATAGATGTATACATTTTACTTTAAATATTGTACACTTCAATGTTAATAGACAAAACTACCCTTACACTGTTATAACACCGTTACTTTTTTAATTCGTTAACATTTATAACTACATCATTATTACCATGCACCTATATCTATCATATATTTTTCCTATTCTTTAATTATCATTTTATTAAAATCATTATATAATTAATTTAATGGATTTTTTTGACAAAATTAATTTAATGGTGGATTATATTTCAATTAAATTTCTATGAATTGTAAATCATATATGTGTCTGTACAAAATACATATATTATTTGTGTATATATAATTCGATTATAATTTTTAATTATTTGTATTTATCAATGTTTTAATATTGGGCATGAATTTTCGCGCATCGCGCGTACAAAATGCTAGTTAATGTGATAAAAGCAAAATAAATGAAATAACAATTAGCAACAATTAACAATCAATAATAAAACTAAGGTTTGGACTAGGCCATTTAAGTATAAGGTATAGTGTATCATTGGTTAGAGGTCATGTAATGCATTGACAATGGAACAAGGGAGATGCTACTAGGTGCCAACACCGCTCCCGTTGCCGTTGGACTCTCAATTAGCTTCAAGCCCCACTCTCATGGTAACTCAAAGCCATTTAATCGTTTTATCAAACGTGTGGTGTCCACATCTCCTTTCTTCCCCCCTTTTCTTAGCGGTGAGTTGGATTAGTGAGAGATATGACTATGGTATTGCTTTATTCTCATAGTGACAACACCTTATCCATGTACCTCTTTTATAATTTGGCCACAATCAATCAATCATACAAGAGTCAATACAAACCACCAAACTCACAACTAGAGTCATCATCAAGTCATTGCACTAGCTCATAATTCAATTCAATAACATTGCATCAATCACAAAAGATGACTTAATCCAATCTCTAATTGAATCTAACTAAACCTAGATTGAAATTGAAGACATTTGCAATAACAATTGGAAGCACACCCTAATACATAGGATAATTTTATGGTAATAAAAACAACAACAAACGACAGACATAAACGTAACATAATTCTTAGAAAAATTTAAGCAATGGGGTAAGAAGCGCTGGTGTTAATGCCACAAACTCCCTCAGCATTGATCCCTCTGGCCATCTTCATATAACCATTCTTACCCCAATCGGTCCCCCATGAATTTTTCACCAACCAATAGTCCATTCCCTTATGGCTCGTCCCGTACCCAATGATCGTCACAGCATGATAGTGTCCGGACCCGCAATCACCGGTGTTGTCGTAGCCGGTGAAAATTCCGTTTGTTCTCGAGTAGCCATGGAACAATGTTCCGTCAAGGGTGATTCCCGCTGAGATAGGCTGGTTTGCGACGGCCGCAAGGAGAGCTGATTCGCTGGCTTCCACCTTTTGATAGCCTGCAATGGTGGCAGCTGGGTTGCCAAGGGTTTGCGTGTTGCAACTTGCCTCGACACCCTCGTACGGGTAGTCGGACTCCGCCATGAGGCCGCCGCTGCCCTTTATGAATTGGAAGGCCTCCGTTCTGTTTCCGCCGCCGCAGCCGCTACTGTTAGGGTCGCAGTCGACGAGTTGTTGTTCGGATAAGGAAATTAATTGGCCTGTTTTTATTTTGGTTATTCCTTCTACAGCCGCCACCGCAGCAAATGCCCAGCAACAACCTAATCCGAGCATCCATAGGAGTTTGCACAATTTTTAAGAATGTCATGTAGGAGAGACAAAAATAGGAGAGAAAGTGAAAAGAAAAAAAAAATATTCTGACAATTAAAAAAAAAAAAAAAAACAGCATATAAAAGGGTTAGTTTCAGTCAGGCGGCCACTCTGACGCGTCCTCAGCAGGCGCGAAGTTGCGCCTAAACCCGCTATTTCGCGCTAGCGCGCTGTTTTTTTTTTTTTTTTTTTTTTTTTCTTCCTAGAAAAATTCTTGTTTTGCGGGAAGTAAAATTGGCCAAAAATCATAGTTTCCATCAGCCAAAAACTTGCTACTATTTCAAAAACCATGTAAAATGCACTGGTAAGACAATAACCAAAATACTTGTGGTCCACACTTGAGCAATTGAAAATGACATTTTATTAAAACCAAAATTAAATAAAGTTATGCAATAATTGTTAATAGTTCCGTACCACAGTGTCCTTGGTCTTTGATACCAGTCACAGCACCATGCTCTCTCCAGTCCAAAGAGTATGGAATTTGAGCCAAACTCTCATTCGTAAAGGAAGCAGGTTTTGAAGTCTTAGGGACTGGTGATGACTTGTCTTCATTAAGCATGGTGGCTCGGAACTCCTCTATAGTTAGATCCGTAAACTTGTTGGTGCCAAGTTTGTAAGAAAGGTTACCAGTCTTGTTGAAAGACTCGATAAACTTTAGGTTTTCTTTGAAGATTTGGAACCGTTTTGCTTTCTCGACATCATCTTTATATGAACGCCCATGGCGAGTCATCCACTTCTCATGGCGCAAGAGCAAGGAAGTTTCTTCGAGGGTACGGGCGGTGGCTTGAGATGCCAATGCCAACAACCCCAACAAGGAAAGGGCTGCAAGAACAACTAATCTGAAATGAAAGTTGAGCGCCATAGGAGATAGCTAGTATATGTGATGGAATGATTTATGTGTTTTGATTAATGAGGATGGATGTGCAGGCTCTCAATGTGTTAGTATTTATAGGCGAACATCCTTAAATTTCCTTGTCAAATTTCCTTCGCTATCTCCTTACCATATCCAACTTAAAACTAGTAGCTTATTTGACCACTATTAATTGTTTGATTTAGTTAAAATATCAATATAAATGTTTGGTTAATTAGCTTTTTGCAACTCCGAAAATTCAAAAAGCTACTCCAAGGAACTTTTTCAATTAGCTTTATGAGAAAAGAAATTATACCAAATAGCTATCAGCTAACAGCTAATTTACCAAATATTTTTCTACAATCCGCTAATGTTATCAACTATTTATACCCTTTAATTAACACAATCAACTAACAGCTAACAACTATCAGCTAACAACTATCAGCTAACAAGCATTTTACCAAACATGGCCTTAAACATATTATTCCATGGTAAATCACAGCGCCACGTATCGAATCGAGCAGGACTAAACTCGACCAATCTAGCTGACACCCACAGCTACTCATGAGAAAAATTGTAAAACTTATGAAGAAAAATGTAATTAACATATGAAAAATTTGACAAGTCTCACGTATTGATCTTATAAGAGATTTTACATATTAACATTAATTATAGATATTATAATTAAGTAGGCAAAAAGTTAATTTTCGTACCAAAGATGTTTTTTAGGCCGCACGTGGTCTTATCTAGTTATTCAAGTATTTACAGCACGTTTGGTTCACTGAATGAATTTTTGGGTAATAGGAATGTTATTCCATAATGAATGGAATAGACAAGGAATAGAATAGGAATTGTATTCTATTGTTTGGTTCGCGGAAGGTATAGACTTTAGGAATTATATTACAGTGTTTGGTTGGTTTAAGAAATAGAAATGAAATATCTTTTAAAAGACATAAATACCCTTATAAAAATATGTGGTGGTGAGGTGGTGGTGGTGGTGGTGGTTGTGGCGGCGACGATGGTGTGATGCTGGTGGTGGTGGCGTCAGTGGCGGTGATGGTGGTAGTGAAATAGGAAATAAATTTAATTAGGGGTACAATATGAAATATATAAATATGTGTGTGTGTGTGTGTGTGTGTATATATATATATATATATATATATATATATATATATATATATATATATATATATATATATATATATATATATATATTTTGAATCCGGTGCACACCCCATAGTCAGCCGAGCCCGTGAGCACACTCCCTGATCGTTGATTTTAATTTTTTGATGATTCAGATTGATTACCACTTGGATCCCATGTTATACTGATTTTAGATGAAGCATGAGTCTTTTTGTCCTTAAGCACTATATTTATATATTACTTTCCATTTCATTTATTTCCATGTTTATAAAGATTTGTACTGTTATTTCAGCTCTCCTTAATCAATATTTCTCTCTCTCTCTCTTAGTGATTTTCTTTGGAATTTTACGGCGGTGTGTGCGTGGGTGTGGAATTGTGTGTGCGTCTTACTGTAACAGGGCTCGTACACCATGGCGTGCTGGTTTTTTCATAAAATTATGCGTTTTGGTATGTGCGTTTCGTGATACATGCATGTACATTTTGGTTTGTGTTTTACTAGTTTCGGGCGTGTGCGAAACGTATCCAAAAGAAAACAAAAATATACGAATCTAATTTGGGTATCGGCGTTTGAATTTCGAGTAGCTAATCAGTGCGTAGTAGATATAGTATTGGGCTTCTTTTTTTTTTTTTTTTTTTTTTTTTAAAATTGTGGGAAATTTTACGATGGTGTGTGCGCGGGCGTGGAATGGCGTGTGTGGTTTTCTGTAACAGGAGGTGTACACCATGGCAAACTATAAAACGCACACACCATTCCACATCCACGCACATACCGCCGTAAAATTTTTCATAATTTAAAATTTCAGATGTACAAAATATAATTAATTATTACTATTGATAGGGTCCCTCATAATTTAAAATATCATTTTTCATTCATAATCCCCTAATATAATGCTTAAGATTCCAATTGAATTATATCCATAATTAAACATATATCTACAATTACTATTTAATCCTTTTGATTTAAATATATCCTTAATTACTTTTACAATCTCTTATAATCTCAACCATTTATGGAAAATGAATCAATAGATATCATGATCTCATCTAGTATAGGGGTTGCATCAGATTCGAAGCCTATATATATATATATAAAGAGATCACATGTGGATACTGTGCTCAGGAGAAAGATGAAGTTGAATGATAGCCGTTGATCTCGCTAAAAAGGACCGTCCAGATTGAACGCATATTAAAAAAAAACGCGGTGGCAATTTGGTCTTTTTACGTTTAGGTCAAACTTAAGGCGCATGGTTTTCCTTCTTAAGGTGCGTTGTTTTCTGTGCTTAAGGTGCATCAGTTCTTCAGTTAAGAACTTAAGGTGCATTTTTGTTGAAACTTAATGTGTTCGTCAGTCTGGTTTTCCTTCTTGCAAGGTTTTCTTTTTTAAGGTGTGTGGTTTACACTTTGTTTTTTGTTTTTTTTTTTTGTTTTTATTTTTTAATTTTCATTGATTTGAGCCATTGATCTAGATTATATTTGATTATCGGCTCAGATCTCACTCCATCTTTCACATAAAACATCCCTATACTTGAACAATGTCCTATACGTACAATTATACCTTCATTATTAGTTACAACTTTTATCATAATAATAAACCTATAATCTCAAGTCTCAACCTATCTGTATTAGCTAGCAGTTTTAATAACAGTAATGGCAACTTCTCCAAATTTCCTGAACCATTTTAATTAGCATTAGGTGCACAATATATCAGTAATGTCCTATTTTTATCTACCTCACGATGGGTTGCTATACCATTTCTGTGGTTTTTTACTGGTTGGACGACTGTTAAATATGTGGGTCAAATTTCTCTAGTCTTAATTCACTTTATACCGATTGGTGTTTTATAAGTCAATTCGTGAGTTAGTATAAAAGATTATAAAATATTAAAACAAATAATTTTGCAATTTGTCGCTCAAACATGGGTAGGCCAACATTCAATCTCTATATCATGGACCAAAGTTCACAGTGCACTGTGGACTATAGTGTATGTGTCTTATGTTGTGAGTTTTTGTGTCTTGTATTATAAAATTCTGTAATTTCAGAGTATGAATTCTATACCTGAAACAAATTAGTAATTGTGCTTATATTATGAAATTATGTGTCTTGTGTTGTGAAAAAATTTTGTTCCTATTACACAAATTATGTACCTAAATCAAATTTGAAAAATATAAGTAAATATATAACATGTGTATGTGTCTTGTGTTGTGATTTTTTGTGTCGTGTATTATGAAATTATGTACGTTACAAGAATGGATTATGTACCTTGTAGTTTCGATCTAGGGTCCATAATACTATGTGAAATTTGGTACATTATTATATATATAATTCATTATTTTCTTTGAAGGAAAAGCTGCAAATTTTAAGTAACATCTTCAAGCTTACCGCGTGGAATGCGACAGAAGTATTCACTATTCACTAGTAGTCTACGGAAGTCTTCGCCCATAAATTTCTGGCAATTGGTTCATATATGCAACTTGTTGATATTAATACCGCTAGTTGGCTATATAAACTAATGTAACAAAAGTAGCGTACTACCATAATTTTCAAAAGTTGAACCCGAGTGACTTGTATATACTCCATAATAAATTAGATTTTTAACTACGACTTCACTGCAATGTCACTTTAACACTATCGATTTTAGTAAAATCTAAATGAGTGAATAATAGACCAATAATTTTTTTAGAAATTAATTAATATTTGTTTTGTGAAGCAGGCGAGCACTTTTTGCTCACATGAAATTTCTGACTACTTGAAAGTGATCTTAAATCAAGTCAAAGTCTTGTTCTGACCACTTTTGGTATTTGGAAAATTCTTTATTGCTATTTCCGACCACTTTTTGCTTTCAACTTGATTTAAGATCACTTTCAGGTGGTCGGGATTGAACCCCGGTGGTGGGGTATTGACTCTTTGGACTACAACAGATAGAGAAAGTGTAGAACAGATACTTCTTTGGACTGCAACAGATAGAGAAAGTGTATAACATATACTACCTACCTATACCTATTACTTAAATTGAGTAAAGTAGGTGATGGAATGGAGTGTGTGTGAGAGTATCCTCACATCAGATATCGTCTCAAAGAGTACACCAAAAGGGTACGTGTTAAATAGTAAAGTGAAAGAACACGTAACGATTAATAAGAATAGATACTACCTACCTATACATATTACTTAAGTTGAGTAATGTATGGTAGGCAGGGATGGAGCCAAAGGGGGCAGGGGTCAGCTGCCCCCCCTCACCCCACCTCCACCACCACCACCCCATATATAATCTTTGTATGTATATATGTATATATAGTATTTGTTTTAGTATTAGTATAAAAAAACTAGTAAATATCAACAAGTAAAGAGTTAGATTAGTTGGTAAAGCATGTGTTTGTTAATGGGAAAGGTCTTGGGTTCAAATCCTTGTATTAACATAGTTTTACATATTTTTGAGTCCTTCTCCTATGGCTTCAACACAGACACTTTTTTAATATTTAATATGTATTTTATTTTTCACACATATCCAACAATATTTACAACTATATTTCTTAAGTAATGGTTTAAAAAAAATTCTTAGGTAATTTATTTATTTATTTATTTTTTTAAATTATCTCTTTTGTTTTAATGTTTCGCTTTTACTGGAAAAAAATTTCTGAATCCGTCCTACTTCTTCGCCCCCCCCCCCCCCCCCCCTCAATCCAATTTCTGGCTCCGTCCCTGATGGTAGGGGATGGAATGGAGTGTGTGTAAGAGTATCCTCACATCAGATATCGTCTCAAAGAGTAAGAACAAGTAACGATTAATAATCAATACTAAAACTAAGGCCTTGGACTATGTACTGCATTGACATAGTAAAACTAAGGGATTGAACTATGTAATGCCTGACATGGGAACTAATAGGGAGACACTACTAAATGACAAGGCCACTCTCGTGGACATTGGACTTTCAATTGGAAGTTGGCTCCACTCTCTTGGTGACTTAAATTACTTGTGATCTGATGTTTATGTCTCCTTCCACGTAACTCCCTTTTCTCAAGCGAGATTGGACTAGTGAGAGGTTTTGCTAAGGTGTTCCTCTATTCTCGTAGTGACAACACTTTATCCATGTACCTCTTGCATAATTTGGCCAAAACCATACAAGAGTCAATACAAACCACTGCACCAAACTAACAACTATAGACATCATCAAGTCATTACACTAGCTTAATTATAACTCAATTCAATCACATAGCATCATTTACAAAAGATGACCTAATCTAATCCCTAACAACACGTTTGGTTCATGGAATCAATTTTGAGGTAATAGGAATGCTATTCCATAAGGAATGGAATAGGCAAGGAATAGAATATGAATTGTATTCTATTGTTTGGTTCGCGGAAGGAATAGACTTTATGAATTATATTAAAGTGTTTGGTTGATTTAAGGAATAGAAATGAAATATGTTTTAAAAGACATAAATACCCTTATAAAAATATGTGATGGTGGCGATGGTGGTGGTGGTGGTGGTGGTGATAGTGGTGGTGGCGGTGGTGGTGTTGCTGGGGTGGTAGTGGTGGTGGTGGCGGTGGTAGTGGTGGGGGCGACGGTGGTGGTGGTGAAGGTGACGATTGACGGTGACGGTTGTGGCAGTGTTGGTGGGGGCGGCGACGGTTGTGGCGGTGGTGGTGGTGGTGGTAGCGGTGGTGTTGCTGGGTGGTGGTTGTGGTGGTTTTGATGGCGGTGGTGGTGGTGGCGGCGGCGGTGATGGTGGTGGCGGTGGTGGCGGCGGCGATGGTGGTGGCGGTAGTGGTGATGGTGGTGGTGGTGGTGCTGGGGTGGTAG